TTTTTGAAAAGCAGAGGGAAGATGGGGTATGTTGATGGCAGGATACAGGCACCTAGTACCACTGACTCAGGTTATGACCAATGGGAGATTACCAACTCTTTGATTATGAGTTGGCTTATCCATTCGATGGTTCCAGAACTTGGTGAGAGCTACTTGTCTATGGAGACTGCCCAGGACGTTTGGAAGGCTGTGGCTGTTACCTATTCCCGCAAAGGGAATTTTTCACAGGCATTTGAGTTGCGCCGCTCTATTGAGAGCTCACTTCAGGAAGAGCAGACTGTTCTTCAGTACTTCACTTTCCTCACCAACGGCTGGAAACGCCTTGACCACCTGGAAGACTATAAACCCGTTTGCCCTACTGATTCTGTCGAGTACAAGAAGTTCATCGCACGGGAACGGGTCTTTAAATTTTTGGCCGGCCTAAATGTGGAGTATGATCCCGTTAGGGGTCGAGTTCTGAGTATGGACACTCTTCCTTCACTACAGGAGGCATTTGCCTATGTACAAAATGAGGAGAGTCGCCGGTCTGCTATGATGTCCCCTGTCTCTACTGACCGTTCCGCATTACTATCTACTCCTCGAGATGGCCTCAGCCTGCCTCCTCCATCTGTTGCTAAGGAGTCTGTCTTCTGTGATTATTGCAAGAAGCTGCGGCATACTCGTGAGATGTGTTGGAAGCTTCATGGGACTCCATCCGGGGGTCGAGGTGATCGGTCTGGTTCTCGAGGAGGTCGGTCAGGCCCATCTAGAGGACGTGGTTCCTATTCCCGGGCTCATCAGTCTAGTGCCGTTGATACCCTTGATTCTAATTCTACTTCTGTTACCCAAGCTTCTGATACTGAGCTGGAGGATGCTTTGCGCCAATTGTTGGACCGCCGATCTTCTACTGCTCTCAGTACCGCTTCCTCGTCCTTTGCCCGCTCAGGTAACTTAGCATCTTCTCCTTGTGCTTTCCTGTGTCATACATCTTTGCCTTGAATTATTGATTCTGGTGCCTCAGATCATATGTCTGGCTCTTCTGATCTTTTCTCTATCTATAAGCCCTCTTCAGGTCAGGACAAAGTTAGGATTGCCGATGGTACTGTTTCTTCCATTTTTGGAAAAGGTTTAGTCCAAGTCACTCCTACCATGCATCTATCTTCTGTTCTCCATGTTCCCAAGTTTTCTGTTAATCTGTTATCCTTAAGTCGTCTTACCCAGGATTTGAATTGTTGTGTGACGTTTTTTCCTGATCATTGTCTTTTTCAGGACCTTGTCACGGGGAGGACGATTGGTAGTGGTAGTGCAGAAAATGGTCTCTACTTCCTAGATCAACCGGACAAACTTGCTTATTCTTCCACCACGTCTTCTACTACCCCCGCTGATTTATGGCTGTGGCATCGGCGTCTTGGGCATCCCTCATTTCATTTTCTTAAGCATTTATTTCCTTCTAGTTTCGCAAATCATCATGTGTCTGACTTTCTTTGTGAGTCTTGTCAACTTGGAAAACAACATAGAGCTTCTTTTGCTCCCAGTTTGAATTAAAGCTTCGTTCCTTTTTCATTAATACATTCTGATGTTTGGGGTCCCTCTCGTGTTCTGTCTGTGAAAGGTCATCGCTGGTTTGTTACATTTATTGATGATTTTTCTCGTGCTACTTGGGTGTATCTCATGAAAGATAAGAGTGAGGTTTTCTCTGTGTTTCGCACTTTTCATAAGATGATTTGTACTCAGTTTGGGGCCACTATCAAAATATTTCGTTCTGATAATGGCGGGGAATACATAGCTTATGGGTTAGGACAATATTTCTCTACTCATGGCATTATCCATCAGACCTCTTGCACCAATACCCCTCAACAAAATGGGGTGGCCGAACGCAAGAATCGGCATCTTCTTGACATGGCTCGATGCATGTGTTTTTTTATGCATGTGCCTCGGCCCTATTGGGGCGACGCTGTTCTCACCGCTGCCCATCTTATTAATCGTCTCCCTACCCAGGTCTTGGACAAACAGGCTCCGCTTCATGTCCTCCTTGGTTCTTCGTCCTTGTTTTCTATTCCTCCCAAAATATTTGGTTGTGTCTGTTTTGTCCATAATCACTCTCCCTCTCGTGGTAAGTTGGACCCTCGCTCCCTCAAGTGTGTTTTCCTTGGTTATTCTCCTACTCAAAAGGGGTATAAATGTTACCACCCTTCTTCTCGTAAGTGGTTTGTGTCCATGGATGTCACTTTCTTTGAGTCCCAGTCCTATTTCTTGTCCTCTCCGGTGTCACCGTCCTCATTTCCGGGAGAGCCTTGGTGTGAAATGAGTCCTGTGCCTCCTATGGTGGAACCAGTTGTTCTTGCACCACCCTCTACTACTGTGCTTCCTATGGTGGACCCAATTGTTCTTGCACCCCCCTCTTCTACTGGGACTATAGAACCCACTGTCACCAAGAATAAGGACAGGCATGTTTATGTCCGGGACATAGACAGAAAACAAGTTAACTGGATACAAGGGACTGTTTCTGCTACTCCACTGCCATCTCCTGCTTCTGATGAGAGTCTAGGTAACTTTGAATCTCGTGAGTCCATTGATCTTGATGTTCCTATTGCCAAAAAGAAGGGTGTGAGATCTTGTACTCAACATCCTATCTCACAGTTTGTATCATACTCTCATTTGTCATCCTCATATAGAGCATTTGTGTCCAATATTTCCCCTGTTAGCATTCCTAACCATTTTCAAGATGCTCTTGCAACCTCAGAGTGGAAACTAGCCATGATTGACGAAATGAAAGCACTTAGGAAGAACGGCACTTGGGAATTGACTGAGTTACCTACGGGCAAACGACCTGTGGGATGTAAATGGGTATATACTGTGAAACACAAAGCAGATGGGTCTATTAAGCGTTACAAGGCAAGACTGGTGGCAAAAGGGTTTACTCAGACATATGGCATTGATTATCAGGAGACCTTCGCACCCGTGGCTAAAATGAATTCAGTCAGAATACTTCTCTCTCTAGCAGCTAATCTAGATTGGCCGCTTTATCAGTTTGATGTCAAGAATGCTTTTCTCCATGGTGACCTCGAAGAAAAAAGTATATATGGACCATTCCTCCGGGTTTTGAGGATCATCAAACAGAAGGCAAAGTAGGCAAACTTCAAGAGTCATTATATGGTCTCAAACAGTCTCCAAGGGCTTGGTTTGAGAGATTCACTCAGCGCTATGGTTAAATATGGCTTCAAACAAAGTCAGGCAGATCACACATGTTTGTGAAACATTCCTCACGCGGTAAGACTACAGCACTTATTGTTATGTAGATGACATAGTTCTTACAGGCAATGATAGTGGGGAAATACCTCTGTTGAAGAAATATTTAGCTCAAAGTTTGAAATCAAAGACTTGGGAAGCTTGAAGTATTTTCTGAGAATTGAAGTTGCTCGCTCTAAGGATGGGATATTTATCTCACAAAGAAAATATGTGCTTGACCTGTTGAAGGAACTGGGATGCTTGGCTGCAAGGATGTGCCACTCACTGGAACCCAATCAAAATTGGGGGATGATGAAGGAGGAGAAGTTGTGGATAGGGGGAGCTATCAACGATTAGTGGGTAAGCTCATTTACCTATCTCACTCCCGTCCTGTATATTGCTGTTGCTGTCAGTGTAGTTAGTCAGTTTATGCATGCTCCTCAATCAGATTCACTTTGAGGCTGTCATGAGAATCTTGACGTATTTGAAGTTGCTCCTGGGTAAGGGTCTGTATTTTTTTCAAGACTCGATCATCTTCGTGTAGAAGCCTATACAGATGCTGACTGGGCTGGGTCAGTAACTGATAGGAGATCAACTTCAGGGTATTGCACATTTGTTGACGGCAACCTAGTTACTTGGAGGAGTAAGAAACAGAATGTGGTTGCCATGTCAAGTGCAGAAGCTGAGTTTAGAGCTATGGCACAAGGTGTGTGTGAACTTTTATGGATCAAATTATTGTTGAGTGATCTAGGTATTGATCAGACGGACTCCATGCGGTTATACTGTGACAATAAGGCCGCCATCAACATCGCTCACAATCCAGTTCAACATGACAGGACAAAACATGTTGAGATTGATCGCCACTTCATTAAGGAGAAACTCACTAGTGGTACCATTTGTACTCCTTTTGTCCAGTCTGGTGAACAACTTGCTGACATTCTCACCAAGGGGATTGGGAATAAACCATTTCATGAAATATTAGGCAAGCTGGGCATGAGAGATATCTTCGCACCAGCTTGAGGGAGAGTGTTAGCATATTATATTAGCCGAAAGTGTTAGCATATTTTATTAGCCGAAAGTTACACTAGGGTCTATAATCATTCTATGCCCTCAGGGATCATCTTGTAATTGTGTTTCTTGTAAACCCTAATCTTCATTTATAAATAGGGGGTGATATTCTATCATACCCTAAGCTGGTTACCCAAGCTTCATATTCATTCCTTGGATTTTTTCTCTAGCAGGTCTTTCTTTCACAAGTTAATTGATAAATCCCGAGGTTCCTCATTTTGATACTAATAAAGTGACTTTGAATACTTGTCTTTCCTTGGCTCATAATAAGATTAGTACCGATGATTTGTTTCGAAGGAGGCCCAATTACTCATTGCTCCCACAATGATGCATTTTGTGTAGAGATAAAGAAATCAGTGCCTTTTTTTTTTTTTTGTGTGTGTGTGTGTGTGTGTGTGGGTGTGTGCATTGTCCTGCAGCTTTGTTATTATGGCGTAATTTAATTTGTTTTATAGGTGGATGTGGAGAGAGTGGCTCCCCTTTGTATACAGATCATTTCAATTATCTATAGGGGATTTGGCAACTATAAGAAAGCTTGAGTTCTTCAAGATTGTCAATTTCACTATAATTTAGGAGATTTGGTTAGCAAGGAACGCGTATGCAAGTATTTCTTAATACAAATTCAAGGATATAAATGGGATATGTCGGATAGGGTTTTTCATGTATCTTCCTTTTAGGCTTCAATCTCTTCTTCTTTCAAGGAAACTCCCTTTGTTTTTCATGGATTTCTTGTCCTCCACCTTCTCTTGTATCTCCTCTTCTAATTTATTAATAAACTTTTGTTGTTACTATTTACACCACCACCACCAACAACAAAAGAAGATGAAATTTAAGAGAGAGAGAGAGAGAGAGAGAGAGAGAGAGAGAAGGGGGTGTTTAGTTTCATGATCAATCAGAAAAATTCAAAAGGAACAAAGAGAGTAGAAGAAAGGAGAGGAAGATGTCAAAGGACGAGCAATGGTTAAGTGAATGGCATGAGCCTAATGTGGTTAACACAGCTTTCTTATGGAATTGAAAGTAACAAGGTTTCAAAATACCATGCCAACATTTCAACAAAGAAGCTTCCCTCACATAAAAAGGTAAAATTTTCGAAAGTTCATCCTGATGTAGTTACAATTAGTATGTTGGTTATGTTTCCAGTACCATAAGAGTTAGTTGTCTTTTATCCTATAAATAGGTGGTTAGGCCCCTCTAGTATTCGATTTATGATATTTTGATATTGAATTTTCAGAGCTTGAGAGCTCTTGTATTTTAAGATTTTTCTCTCTCGAATGAAATCCATTTCTTGATTGGCTTCATCACATCCAGCACAACATACACATTAAGACCCAATCTCTGACACTCATAATTGCAATACCATCTGCTAATGAGTCCATTTATAATAGACTTTCAAGTCATTGTGATTTGTGTTAGATGTCAGATTTACATACGAAAAGAAGAAGAACAATAAGAAGAAAATAAGAACAGAGAGACTGCTATGCTTATTATCTTGCTCTTAAACATATTAGGGTTACACATTTATAATAAAAGACTAAGGGAATGACATAACTACCCTTACACACTAATACTTAACACTCCCCCTCGAGTTGGTGCAAAGATATCTCTCATATCCAACTTGCAACAAATGGGGTGGAAAACCTTACTACTAAGACCCTTAGTAAAGACATCAGCTAATTGATCTTCAGACTTCACAAATTGATCTTCAGACTTCACAAAAGGCATACATATTAAACCCTTATTCAATTTCTCCTTGATGAAATATCTATCGATCTCAATATGCTTTGTTCTGTCATGCTGAACAGGATTGTGAGCAATACTAATAGCAGCTTTGTTGTCACAATACAGTGTCAATGATTCACTGTAAACAAACCCAATATCATTCAACAAGGACTGGAGCCACATTAGTTCACATGTACCATGTGCTATAGCCCTGTATTCTGCCCCTACACTAGATCTGGACACCACTGTTTATTTCTTACTACACCATGTGACTAAATTCCCCCCTACAAATGCACAGTAACCAGCCCAATTAGCATCTGTGAACGCCTCCAACCTCAGGTGACCGTGATTGGAAAATAAAATCCCTTTTCCAAGAGCAGATTTAAGATACCTCCAAATGCGATATACTGCATCCAAATGAAGTGCACGAGACTCGTGCATAAATTGACTCACTATCCCAACCGCATAGACAATATCTGGACGAGTGTGAGACAAGCCTTCCGACAAGTCACTGGAGGTACCTTTCCTTCACAGGATCACCAACACCACTATAAAGAT